TCAAAAATAGTTAAATATTGTTAAAAACATGAACAAAACACGTTTTACTAATTTTTCAGTTTTTTATTTTATAGTTTTAAATTTCCGCGATAATATCAAAAGTCGACGTGTTAAAAGTATAAGTTATACGAAACTCGTTTGATTATTAATTAATATTGGTGGATTATCTAGATGAGACATCAACAGATACATAAAGCTTTTGAAGCATTTCTACTGACACATGTTTTTTTCTAAAAAACAATTTACAATATATTAGAACCAATAGTTTATGAAATCTAATGCTGTTATTTTTATAAATATAGAAATTTTTAATAGTTTCAAAACACTGAGAAGATTTTATATAATTGTAAAATTATCGATACGATATTATTCGTATATTGAAACATTCATCTATTAGAAATTACTGATCATGGTTTTAGTCACATAAATTACACATACATTTATACTGTGTAATTACGTTAGCACTTAATTCTGAAAAAAAAAATAAAAAAACGATGTACTAATTTTCTGGAGACATTCATACGCTCACACATACATGTAGCCATATGTAAAATTTCAAAATAATATATTATTGACACTGTGTTACAGAAAATTGTTCCAATGTAATTATTTTAATGTGTTAATTTTAATGAGTTGGTGAAATCGCATTGATCTAGACAGTTTTGACTTCAAATTATAAACCCTTCAATTTTAGAAATATTTCAATTTATGAAATATCCGTTTATAGATGTTTATGCGATTGGTATTTTAAAATCTGGAGAACATTTTCAATTTCCATATACCATTTTAAATCTAAATTGATCGTCGTTGAGTTTAGATAATAAGATATATACATAACAGAAACTCTTGCGCTTATTATTGAAGTGTGCAAGTTAAAACCATGAAAATAACAGTCATAATCATCCGGTGTTATATCAACAAGTATAAAGTAGTTGCTATGTTCTTGAAATTTATTTAGTCTAAAAAACAAAAAAAAATGTGTAATTATATGACTGTCGGATTTAATAGAACAATATATCTCACAGGAATTGAATTTACTCATAGTACAAAACAAAATATGTTAAATAATAGAACCAGTAAATTCAAATCCGACTGTTGAAGTACATAACGACAACTAATTATTTTATAACTACACTACAGCTGATCTACATCAAAATACTGTTTAATGATATATATATAAATGATGAAATAATCGTGGTACTAGAAAACTAAAATTTTGAGCGACAGTTGGTTTTCAGATGAATTTATCTGATATAGTTTTCTATGTTAACGGAATACGTGTGCCAATCGATATCGTTGTATCTAGGCCGTTTATACATTTAAATCCATACTTATTATGGATTTACATATGTCTCTGACAAAAACGACACCATAAATTTTGTGTGCAACAATTAACAAATAAAAATGCTACTTTTTTTGCTTTTGTTATGATTAATATTTTTATAGATTTTTCGTCTTTTTTTATATAGGTATACTCGTATTTTCTCTGTTTTACTTTCACACACTTGGAAGAACGTAGTTCAGAGGAACGCTGATTTCTTACATCATTATTTCACACGTGGTACTCATCCGTAACGTTAGTTACAAAAATTGTGTAACAATAATACTTTTAATGAAAATCAAACGGTGCATTAACATTGTATGTCCTCCCCTTCGCATCCCTTAGAAAATTCACGACAATTATTTGTGGTATCTGGTAAGTCGATGACTCGTGCGAAATTTTTCACAACATTAAAGTTGTCAGTCATTATTTTATATTCAATATATTAGTAGTACATAACACATGTATTCACTTCTCGGTCCTATTAAATTAACGCCTCTTTTTCTCCTTAGTAATATGAAATACATCCTAGTAATCCCAAAATAATTAAACATATTCAATAAAAATAAAATATTTTAGTACACAAAGTAAATACAAGAGCAATAACCATTTCCTACTACAGTGATGGTCAAACTTATTTTACCTCGGGCCATAAAAAACAACTTTTTTTTTACCATGGGCCATAAAAAAATGCATTTTCAATTTTTTTTTTACGTAAATGCAAAATATTACAGTTATACAAATAAGTACTGTAATATAGAAGACTTTCGCGGGCCAGATATTAAATGATGGCGGGCTGAAGTTGGCCCACGGGCCGTAGTTTGGCTACCACTGGCCTATTATAATAAATTACTAATAATACTTCAAAATAATAAGACATTTAGTTATTATAACTTTTTTTAGTTTTACTTAGGTTTAGGTAAAAAAAAAAGGACATATGTAATTATAATTTAGCACATCTCATAAATGTCGTGCTCAAGGCACGTGTCTTTATATTGGCTACGTTTCTGTATTGAATATTTGCTGGAAAATATTACGCATGGTTTATCATACCATTACCACCTATTGTTAATGTTATAGCCTATTGGTGACAAGTTTTCTAAGCAGTTTCTATATAACAATTATTCCTTCAGTATTGATATTCATCAAGACACTTAGACACTCTGTTTTAAATTTTTAAACTTGTAAAAATACTAACTAAATGAAAATTTACTTGTTCAAATTACAATGAGGTAAAAATGAAAAATTATTTTGTTAACAATCCAAAATGATTATTTGTACCAAAATTATATAGAAATGAAGTTATAAATTTAAAATTGACTGTTTTAAATAAAAATAAAAAATTATCTTATTAATTTTGGAAAAACATAAATATAACTAGTCAGTTAGAGCACTGAAATATACTTGATGTTTATTTGTGACCAACACAATGACTTGAGATAATTTTCAATAAAATAGTGTAAAAGAATTTTTACTACAATAATTGCTATACTTAAAGTGATTTGCTCTATGGCTATTAATGTTTATTCAAATGTTCAATTTAATTTTTGTATTTATGTTTAATATCTATGTTCTTACTTTCTTGGGCGTTAATTATATAAAATAAATACATTTGTGTCATTGAGTTTGTACAATTAAAAAATATTATTAATCTATGATTGTTTAAAAACAGTGAGCTTCTTTACATTGAATAAAATAAATACGATCAATTAATAAGTTAATCTTTTGTCCCATAAATAATTTTACCTTCTCACTCTCTGGTACATAATAGGTGTCATTTTTTTCATTTTTATTATAGTTTTTAGTATAAGGCTGTTGCAAAATACGTATTATATTTTTAGTAATAGTACAAAATTATAGGTACATAACACCAACTTGTAATTGTTATTGAACTGAACAGTTAATATTAAAGCTAATAAGAATAAAAATACACCAATATATCATATTATTATCACTATGGTTTTTTCAATTTTTTTCTTTGTGGATGCACTTTATCATACCTATTTCCTATTATATTATATCTTACAAATTTAACCGGATAAACTTTATTAAAATATATTATATTAAGAGCAATATTATGTTATGTTTTATAAATTATAATATATCCGCTCATAAATTATAATAAACTGATTTAATTTTCAGTTTTAACCGTTTCATTCGAATAAAGATAGCCATACAGTTATTAGTTAATAGAATATAATAGAATAAAAGATCACGTAAAACAACTATGGAACAATTATGACTGAAAATCTTGTTGCTTGTAAAAATAATAACATAAAAACTCGATTATGAAAAACAATGTTTCCTTAAGAAGATGTTGACAACTTTTTAGTTACAAGTATTTATAAGACGTAAACGCATGGAATGAGTACTTTCTATAAATGTGTGCTCTAATGCACAGATCAGATGTGTTATTGATTAATAATGACCTTAGAGAAAAATTTAAATAATAAATATATTTTTCAGCGATCAGTATTAATCGAATAATTATTTGAGAATCGTTCTTCAGAGAAATGGACTAGAAACTTTGTATGTTTTTTAAAATCGACATATTTGTCCTTATATTACATTCAAGGACTAAAAAAAAAAAACAACTAAATTGTAGTGCCTAACAAATATTTCTGTAATTTATAATTCTTCAATAATTCTATTATTCAACAAATACCCTAGATCGATGTCTTTTTTTAAAATATTTATACCTTTATTGTGTTCTCAATTTAACAATAGTACCCAAATTTACCCAATAGCTACCGCAATCAAAAAATAATAGCTAATGATCGATATTTAAATACTACTTTGAAATATCATAAATAAAAGTAGTTCATTTGATATATTAACATATTAACAGCATATCGTTATGTACGCTCACAGTATTTAAGAACAAATGTTGTGCTTTCATTCGATTAAGCTGAATATATATTGCACGACTAACAATATAAACTAACAATTTAACATAATAATGTATCAGAACGTAAAAATACTTATAATTTTATAAGTTGCATATTTATTTAAATGTACGATAACAGATACGTTAGCAGATCATTATTTATACACTGTAAGTGTCAGTACGTCAATGTTAATCAAATAAAAAACTATTAATTAAACTTAGTTCAATTTTGATCATATTTTAATATATTTCTTTCAATATTTTGAATAAGAATTAAATTAACTTTTTATGTAATCGAAATGTTAAAAAACTTCGGAAATTCGGAAACAATTTGTAATAAAGTATAACATACGGGCATAGAATCTTACTAATTTTTTAATATTTTTAATCGTCAGACATTTTATTTTCAAAAAAGTATAATATACACAATATTATGTTGGAAGTTGTATCCGTCGCGCGTGTGAATAAATAACAATTCTACACATTTTCTGCTGCGGTTATATAACAACAATAAAATAGTGAATTTTAAACGAACTATTACCGTGAGATTTGAACTCCGTGAGATGTGTTGTTACACACACGCACACACACACATATGTATATATATATATATATATAATTATTTTTCTTATGATTTAAGCAGTTACAATCACTTTGTATTTGGATAATGTAATTACTGGTCTGGGAATCTGCGAAGAAGTTTTTAATATTCATTCCTTTCATTTTCAATCCCTACCAATCGCGCGCGACGTGTCCTGCAGGTGGGTGGTGGTTGTATAAAATAGCTGAGCAATTACAAGCAGGTATCCAATAGTCGGTGTAAGTTCGGTGACTAGTCAGTGAATTCAGTGATTTTTTTTCGTATTCCCATCACTCGAGTACATTTTACAAGAAAACAATCTCAAAATGAACGGTCTTCTGTTGGTAAGTTATTCGTTTTCGAACTCGTCTCACGACGTATATAAATATACTCTAGCCATAAAATACTACAGTACTATATGCGCTACCTACGGATTCATAACGCCGTCGTTCGGTGTAAAAAAACCACGCAATATCCAGCTAATACGGCAACAGTTAAATCCTACAAAACATTATCGCATCATGATACGTTGTATATATAGCTCATATTTTCGGAAGAACGAATTACACGTTTTCGTCGAAAAATTGATTTTTTCTACTTTTTTCCGTTCTTCTCGTGTTTCGTTTTCGACCGTTCCGTTTTTTAAGATTCCTACGTGCAACATAAAAAACACTGCTATGAGATAACGATTCGGCGTGATTTAGACGTACCGCAACGCGCCCGAGACAGAAACCGGAGCTTTCTCCACGGACAACGTACAATAGTAGCATATCAGCAGTGTCCTCGTGGATTTTTTTTCCCCCCCTGTACGTGCTTACGACCAAACGTTACGTACGTGTGGTCCGGTACACGTGGAAGCGTGCGTGGTCCGCATCGCGAATCGCTTATGGCCGTCGAGCGCACGCACGAAAGTGTCGAACGTCGGTCGGCAGGACTCGTCGGAACAGCCGTTTTACCGCGCGCCCGTTCGCTTCGCGTTCAACGCAACGTCCGTTGACCATCGGTGCCCATACGAGACCGTTACTGCGTGCACAGGTGGACGCGTCATGTACCGGAGGTCCGTGGACGTGTAGGGTTGTCCAATGTTTGTACGCACGGTTGGCCGGGAGAGAAAACGATCATCGCTCGTTTTACGTGACATGACTGCTCGTGTGCCATTGACGTTTATGTCGTGTTTCAGTGTTTCGTTGTCGCCGCAATCGCCATGACCACAGCTGAGCCACCAAGCGGTTACAGCCGTCCGTCGCAAGGCGGGTTCGGTGGCGGTTACTCGTCCGGCGGATTCGGCGGTGGTTACTCGTCTGGAGGCAGCGGAGGCGGATACTCGTCCGGTGGATACTCGTCGGGCGGATATCCGAGCGGCGGCGGATACTCTTCTGGCGGCAGCGGATACTCGTCCGGCGGCAGCTACGTGCCCGTCGCTCCGGGACCGTCCACCTACGAAGGACAGTACGTTGACTCACAGCTGCTCGAACAGATCAAGCAGATCGTGCTCAGAGACGAGTCCCAGAACTCCGGATCGTCCGGCGGATACCCGTCATCGTCCTACGGCGCCCCGTCATCCTCTTACGGAGCCCCGTCATCCTCTTACGGAGCCCCGTCGTCCTCCTACGGAGTCCCGTCGTCCTCTTACGGCGTCCCATCTCAATCGTACTCGAGCCGCGTCGTCGGAGTCGAATTGGAACAGGTGAAACCGGCCATCCAAGTGGCTCAATATCAACAATCCTCCGGCAGTGGTGGCTACTCCTCTGGCAGCGGTGGTTACTCTTCCGGCCCGTCCTCGTTGTACGGAGCACCTGCAAGGCCGTCCTCGTCCTACGGAGTGCCCTCATCGTCATACTAACGGCTTTTGGCTCGTTAGACGTACCGACAACAACAATAACATCAGTACATCGACTCATTGGCTCTTTTACAACTGCGCCACCATAACACGAGTGCACGCGCGAATCGCTCTTTGCCACGTTTCACGTGCTTAACGTGTATTCGTGCACGTATCCTGCCCACACGTTTACAAAGCACATTTATTCATCAAATGCGGTTATTATGTGTACGTCGGACCAGTGTGGCGCGACGTAAAAGAGCGATTTTTTTTCGTTTTTTAAATATATAATTTTTTTCTTTTTATATTTTGTAATTTAAATATATATATATATATAAATATTATCTATTGTTACGCGTGTAGTCGACAATTTAGCCATAACGTATGTCTAGACATTTATAATAGGCTAAACATGTAACAACTGTCTTGTGTAAAAGCAACGGCCAAAAGATGAAAAAAAAAACTATTTTTATATAAAAAAAAAACATTCGGACATTTTTATTTTTTCCACCGTTCTCGTTCTCAAACGTGTCATTCGCACTGTGTGCGAATCGCTCCGTGACACAAACATTGGTAAAACGCGTCGAACCGTGGTTACGATACAGATATCGGCGGCAGCCGCGCGTGTGTTATACTTACTTGGTTATAGCAGTATTACATATTAGGTAGTTGCCTACTTATTTACGATCGACTATTGATCATCATAATTGCATGTATATAAATTCACACGATTTTTTGTTCCTATTCATCTTTTTTACTTGACTTTTTACAAGCATAAGTTTACAATATTCTTTATCATTTCGAACATGTTTTCATGAAATTAAACTGAAAACCACCATCGTATCACACTTCATTTCAACGGTTAACGCCAGCGGTGGCCACAGCACGATTTTTTCTGCACACCGCAGTACAGTACACGAGTTTCGATGTTTTTTAGGCGCTATTCCGGTTTAGTTTTTCAACGCAACACTATACACTTCGCGAGTTTTATGTATATACAATGTAGTAACTCAATTATACGCGTACTGGAACGATGAAGAAAACCTTCGCAAGTAGACTCTGCGAGATCACGACGTGAAATTGCGTTAGACGGTATTGCACAACGACGAAATCCACGAATGGTCCATCGCCGCCGCCGTACGGTTATTTCGAACGGTATAGGTACGTCGCGGGAAAAAAAGTATCAACTCGACTGATATATATCAGTATTGTTATTATAGGCGTTGACCAAGGTTTTCCGGGCAATTGCGGATTATTGGGAAACCAGCAAACGGCGTTTTCGTTATTATAAGGGCTGCGATCACGCGTACTCATAACCGACGTGTACCTCGACTAGAGATTAAAATTTATAGTCATTCGCACTGCACACGCTAATTCTCGAAAAATGTACGTAGCCTCCACGGGTGAAAGATGAGCCTACATCGCTTAACGTAGAAATGATGTAATTTTTCTGTACTCAGCAGTACTGTAAGACCGCCGATTTTACGACATTCGTTTGTGATGTAAGTTACCGTTTTTGCGACTCCGATGAATAGGATTTCATTGGAGACTTTCAAATTCCGCGCGGTGCGCACAATTATTTTAGGCCCTGTAACGTGCACTATTGTACGTACAGTCCACAGTATTATTATAATGCGTATGGCGCGCGGTATACATTCGGTCACCACTAACGTGTGTGGTGTGTTGACATTAACGGATTTTCGAGTTACAAATTAAATTAGGCGGCTTCGGCGGCGCTGTTCCCGGCCGTGCACACGGCAGATATATATACCTACCCGTGTTGTGCACGCGAACAATATCACTATACAAACGGTATTCGGTACACGAATTGCCACACGCGCCCGTACGGTTTTAGCAGCGTTTCTAATCGTTAATAACCAATCTGTTCGACGGGCGAACACGTGCATAATAATTACCATTACACGTAAATACATAATACACTACGCGTGTATACACGCGGCTGATGCAAACCTATGGGTGTACCCGAAGTCGTTTATATAGATACATTCGATCAACCGTCGAACGAGTGCAAAAATATTGTGTAACGTTCTTGTGAATACAGTCGTATCGCGTGTTCGACGCCGCCGTCCCGACGATTGTTGTACGCGTACATGATACCGTAAAAGCCCGATCGTTACGCGAAACTGGTATAGCTACTGTAGATAGGTTTTACTAGGACGTCACTATTTGTAGTGGATGAAAATCCTAATTCCATTCCGACTATTACTGAAAACCACGTTGTGTATATCACCATATGATACAATACAAACCGTTCAATATAAGCCGTATTTAAATCTAAAAAAAAAAAAATCTGGAGAAATGAACTATACAAATTATTTTTCACAGTTCAATATATTAATATATACGTGTACTTTATATCACACGGTCATGCAAACCGATCAATTTAATGCGTAAAATCCTAACGGACATAATATTGACAATGATTAAAGTTATATTTTTATAAGTCGTGTATCGATCGGTTTTTACCAACTCGATTTGTTCATTCTAAGATGATGTTTACAGTACAAGTTCGAACAAAATGATAATTTTCAGTTTTTATGGAGTAAAAATTGTAAATCCTAGCATAAACTAAGACTTAGCTTTACATTTTGATCGAACTTTTACGGTAATATACATATTATATAGACACGTAAATATTTTATTATTATTGAGTAAAACGTAGCCGCAAACGGAAAAAGAATCGAATAGGAAACAAAAGACATCAGTTTTTTTTTCACTCGAGTTATTTATTCACAAATATACGATAAAAAAATTGTACGCACATGATTTATTTGATGATTTTGTTTGTTCTTTTTTGAACAGTATGAATCATAAAATAATAATAATAATGAATTGAATGGAAAAAATACATCTTGTGAAGTGATGATGACAGACTGACATTATCCTGTAAGGCTCTTGACGAGTATAATCAGTAAATTGAAAATTATGAGAGGATCTGAAACAAACAATGCAACAATTAATCTTTCATTAATCGTTAATACGTACGGTGAGAGTTTCAACAAACTTTTGCGTGTACAAAAATAAAACTAAACGAAAGTAACTACTAGTTTTATTTTAAATAATAAGTTTTATTATTTAAACTATGGAAAAATAGTCACGGAAATATCAAGCATTTGGGTTATATAACAAGCAGTTACGTCTACAACGCATCTATGACCTAAGGAATAGCCTGTAGGTATAACGAGTATAAGACGTTCACACAACTATACATAGACTATATAACAGTTTGTATAGTATAGTATAGTATATTAGTTCTTAAGACTTAATTTTACGATGACCTAATTTGATATATTTATTTCACTAAATTTCATTATGATAGTAATATAATAATATACAATGATTTTTTAATATTTTATTACGGAAACGAACGTCCGTGTTACACACAAATATAAATCTTATTTCACTCTTATTACAACAACAATAACAAACGTATTACGGTCATTAATGCACCAAGTTAATTAAAAACTAATATTTGTAGTGGGCTTAGTAAATGTTGGCGATTTAAAGAAAATGAAATTGTATTCACCAAGTAACAGATCGTAATTAATCGCATAACTTACTCCGTATACCCAATACCCAGGTTAACGAACTCAAGAATAAGGAACAATAACAATCATTATTCTATACCATAAATATTATATTATATTATATTAAATTAAAAAGTAATTTAAATATGTATTTGTTAACTATTTAACATTACAAATTTATGCATAAATAAGGTTCGGAAAATAAATTTATAGTGTTCAATTTTAATAATTAATTTCGTATATTTTGTTAGGTTCTATGAGTACAATAATAATGATGAGATGACACATACAATTATTTTTTCGCAGTTCGAAATATCTAATAGCTAGGTGAACTATCTTAAAGTAATATTGCAACTTACATATTAATTATTTTTTCGGTTATAGTAAAATAATACGGGTGTCGCAATGCATACACACATCCGCTTATTATATATTTTAGGCACACAATTGCAGTACATTATCATAAGTAACAGATAACTATACTGCCTATACATAACGCCTTAATAATTCGTCAGTCACGTAAATGCGTCATGAATGTTTGAACAAATTATAAGATAAATTTCCAAGCCACTGTATTAATCTGGTGTCTTGGTTTTTTTCTTTTAGTGGCATACTAGTTCAATATTGAATAATTAACACCTTTGGTAAGTTTATTTCTATAATTTAATTATAATTGATATTTTTAAAGTGATCACTGATCAATAACTAATTAAGATTAATTTATTTTAAATTTAAGTATTAATTAGTATCTTGACTACAATTATCATAATACACCAAATAAAAACAAGTATAAGTTATTATTAGTGCTCAGGTTTTGTACATTATAATATATCTACAAGATTTGTGTTACTTAGTATGTAAGTGTTACATTTCTAAGAAACCAGATCAGTAAATAGTTCATGACAGGTCTGAAGCCTTTTCTTAAACTATTTTGAAAAATAATTAACATACTTGATTTATTACACTCATTTAAGTATATTATTAATAGAACACGAACATAAATATTATTTTTAATTAATGTTAAATTTTTAAAAAGTACTAAACGGCGGCGTATTAGTCACTGATAATCTTAATGTAGAAAATATTTTATTCTTACTAAAGGTACACAGAGGTACAAATAGATGTATATACTTATATACTTACTATATATTATAATAATATAATAATCAATTACTAGTTAACTATTTACACATTTTGAAATTATATATTTGGTTTATTTTATTTATAATAAGTAACAAGTATATTATTTGTATTGAAAAATGATTATTATAGAGTAAATTTAAAACAATGAAAACTGAATAGATAATCACATTTTTAGAAAACAATAAATATCAATAGATTATGTACCTATTCCATTTATACAATGAGTAATAATTATATGATTGAAGTAAGTTTAAATTATGAATTATTATGGTCATTAAAATAGATAAATAACAAGATCGTAAGAAAATGTTAGTTCTACTTTATATTTTATATCATAAGTACACAAGAAGATAAAAGGAGTAAAACTTTATAGTGATAAGTGATAATTATTTTAAAAATGTATTGTTTTCAAGATTAAAACTTCAGTTAATTGAAAAAAATTATAATTATATTAAAATAAAAAACAAAAAAGTCAAGGAAATTAGTCATAATTAATGGAAGTTATAATTCTATTTGTGTGATGGACTCAAACTCAAATAAGTAATAATAATATTATAAACATTAAAATTACTATGAAGTAGATAGTTCAAAATCTAAATTAAATACATTTTTTAGAACAAATATTGTGTAACAAGATGAAAAATATCTGAAAAAACTTTTATCATAAAATATTTCATTTAAATCTAAAATAATTAACAGTAAATAAGTATAAATGTAAGTGGTATTAAAATGTTGGTACTTTATTCAGTTCATGAGATTTTATTTCGAGTCTTAACAGTTGACATGAGGAAATACAATGAGCATTTGTAAACAAAACTCACATTTTACAACCGTTCGAATAGACTTCATGAGTGACAGTATCTGTGTTTTAGTGGTTGGTGCGTCATCAAAATCTCGGTTCACCGTAGACCAACCATCTGAAATCCAACAGCAGTATTAAATAGCAATACGTGGGTATATAGAGGCAAACGTTCTTGACGTGTTCACCCGGAAAAATTATACAAACTTACATTTGGCCAGGACTCTTTCTTCGCTGAGGATGCATATTGCGTTCAGACACAGCAACGAGGCCTCCAGCAGACTCCACAAGGAGAATCCCATTTTTTAACGTCCTGGGAGGGATAAAGGGAAACCGTGATGCGGAAGCGCCACGGTTCCGGAATGCTTAATGGTGGTGGCCGAGGGAATCAGGAAAATGGTCGGTGGATGTCTTCAAACATTGAAAATCGCAACTCGGTCGTGTTATCACATTACGTGTCGCGTTTATCAGTCGTGGTCGCGGTGCGTTCAAAATGAACGGCGGGTAAATTTCTTCCATGCGCGAACTCCGCTTATCTCGGGATCACGTCGTGTCGTTCTAACCTACACGGTTGATGTTTCCGGGTAGTGTGTGATAATGCGGTACGGTCGACTCGGGAATTATCGGAGAAAGGACGACCGTCAGGGAGAAGGTTGTTAATCGTAACGGATTAATAACACCGAACGTTGAGATTTTCTTGCGCGTGACTGAATTATGATCTCTTGACGTATACTTATTATATTCGCATCCCGGAACGCGATGGTGTAAAGCGTCGCCAAACTCCAATTGTTGTCGTTTTCATCGTCATCGGTGCACAGAGCCAGACGGGCTGGTTCTTTTGCTCGTCGTCGATCCAATTTTCACTGTGGAATCCCAGAACCCGATTGGTAAAATATGTTCTTCAACTCTTATCGACGCTTGTGCGTGTACGCTAAGATATCATGTAGCGTACCTAAGCGTTACTCGTGTAGGAATGTTTTATTGAATTGTATAGATATTGATTCTTTTTCCATTATTTTTCGTTACTACAATTCATATTAATTAAATCAAATTATTTTTGTTTTGTCTAATAATGATAAAAATAAAATAATTCCATATTGTGATTATAGTGTTAGCTTGTGGCTTTCATCCCCTGTAACTTCAATACTTTTTATGATGACTTAAAAATATTAATATTTCATGATTGACTAGTGATGACAGTAAATGAGAACAGTTTAATTTATTTTAGTCAAACTAATTATTCCATCTGTGTTGTACCTCATCTAAATCTAATTAATTCATATTATTAAGATAGTCATAGCCATAACATTTTGAAATATTTTGCCGATGATGAATAAATTTAATTTGATTTTTTTTTTTTGAAACAGTAGGTATACATGATATAAATTATGTTTTATGTCATTCTTTACTCATCTAGTTTAAGTCTGAGGCAAATAATATAAAGGTTGAATGTATAATATATATAATTTTCTGTTAGTAATATCATGAAGATAAATTTGTTTTATACTATTGTTGTTAGATAAAATGGACACGCCAAAGACAAATGAAGTAGAATTGAAAAGTGTCGTTTCAGATGTGAAACGTACTAGATTTCAAGTAAACTTGGTGGATAGTGATACTCCTACTAGAATGAGATTAGATAGTGTATCGTCCGATGACAACAAGTATAAAAGTTTTCGGCAACTAACACGTGAAGCATTACCTAGAGTGGATAATTATAGAAATATAATGTCAGTACATGTTGCATGTCGACCCACTTTAGATGAACTGCATAATTGTGATTTGGCTGAAAAAGTATATGTATAAATATTTGTCTATAATTGTTATTGTAAACATTGCTTTTTATTGTAGAATCTGGAATTTCAAGACAATGAACTTAGTAGACCAACAAAAAAAAAACATGAGCAAGGATGGATAAAAGGAGTTCTGATTCGTAATTTAGTGCAAATATGGGGTCTCATGTTATTTTTAAGAGTGGCTTGGGTTGTTTGTACTACCGGTCTAGGTATTTGATAATTTTCTTTCTTTTCATTGTTATATTTTGTTTAATTAAAAATAAAAAAATAGTTTCAGGAATTGTTATAATATTGTTTGGTGGTGCTATAACAACTATAACAGCCTTATCTATGTCAGCAATCAGTACAAATGGTGTGTTAAAGGAAGGTGGAACATATTTTATGATATCTCGTTCTCTTGGACCTGAATTTGGTGCTTGTATAGGTGTAATATATTCTATAGCATTATCTGCTGCTTGTGCAATGCATCTGGTTGGTTTTTGTGAAATGGTACAGATTCTAATGAACTCAATTGATTGGGCTATTTTGGATGGTGGATTGCAAGATATGAGACTTCTTGGAATTGGTTTAACAGCTGCATTGTTATGTGCAACATTAGGTGGCATTCGATCACGAATACAGGTCAATTAACACTATTATATTTTCTAAAAATATTCAAGAATTTTAATTTATATTTTATATTTATAGGTTCATGTAGCAGTTTTAGTTCTTATGATCACTACCATTTTGAATGTATTCATAGGAGCGATTTATGGACCAAAAAATGATTTTGAAAAAAATCATGGTTTTATTGGATTTAGCTGTAAGAAAATTTAACTTTTTCTCAATAATTAATTACAATTTTGTTTAAATAAAAAATAATACTATTTATTTTTTCTAGGGGTAGCAATCAACCACAATATGTTTAAGAATTTTAAATCTTTTGATGAATGGTGCAAGAGTTTTTGGTCTGGTTTTGGTATATTTTTCCCAGCAGTATCTGGATTTTTAGCTGGTACAAATAAATCTGGTGAATTAAAGGTAAATTTAATATGTATTTAAAAAAAAAAATGAATCTTTTTGAATATTAAATGTTATTAACATTTTCTACACAAATTAAAATAATATAAAAAATATTATGTCTTGATTTAATTAAAACTTAAATAATGTTCCTCATTATTATTATATGTATATTAAATAATACTAAAAATACTATAGATAGAATTTAGTAGTCATTAATACAAAGAAATCTTATAATTTGTTTTTACAATATTTTATTTGTATGTGATTTAGGATTCATTAAGAGCAATCCCAAGAGGATCTTTAACATCTATTTTTATTTCTTCCTCCGTTTACATAAGTATTGCAGTTTTAGTTGGTTCAACCTATTTAATAGATGAAGAATCTTTGAAATCGGATTCAATATCAAGCTGTGATACTCCTAATAAATTTTATGTAAGTAAATTTCCTAGTAAAATATTTATTTTATAATATTATTTATGACATTTTAATAACAATTTCTAGGCAGTCAATCAGACTATTGGGATGATAGCCTTATTTAGTCCATTAGTATACGCATGTATCTTGGCTTCAACATTAACAGCTTCGTTTTCTTCATTTTTAGCTGCTCCTAAGGTATTTCAAATGTTATGCAACGATAGACTATACAATAATCTTTCGTGGTTTGGATTTAGTAGTAAATCAGGAGAGCCAATAAGAGCTGATATTTTGACTACAATAATTGTTTTGCTGTTTGTAATTCCTGGTACAGTATAAATATATTATAGTGTAATATAGAATATGTATTAAGTTGTTTTTATATTATTGATAATTAATAAAAACTTGATTTACAGGTGACTTGAATGCAATATTACCCTCAATATCCAATATATTCTTAAGTGTCTATGCACTGATAAATTTTAGTACTTTTCATGCATCTTTGGTTAAACCAATTGGTTGGCGTCCTACTTTTAAGGTAAAAAAAATATTAATTAAAAATAATATATTAAATTATGAGTAATAATGTTTGTTTTTTGTATAAATGGATCAATATGTAAATTTGTAAGGTGTATAATCTGTAACATAAGTAGTTATTTAGTTCATATTTTGAACTTAGGAATTGATAATTTTACATAAATATTTTTATTTTCCTTCTAGTTGTATAATAAGTGGTTAAGTTTGGGAGGTGCAATGCTTTGTGTTGTTTTAATGTTTGTCATAAGCTGGTGGACAGCTCTGGTAACATTAGGTGCTATTTTGGCTCTGTATTTGATTGTGTCGTATCAAAAACCAGGTAAGCTATATTTATTTTGTATTCCGATGTATTTAGATTTCTAAAATATATTAGTTTCAGATGTGAATTGGGGTACAAGTACTCAAGCTCAAACTTATAAACAAGCTTTGATGTCTGTTCATAATCTTATCAGAGTTGAAGATCATGTCAAAAACTTTAGGCCTCAATTACTTGTACTTACAGGAATGGCATCTGCTAGACCATCATTAATTGATTTTGCTCATCTTATCACAAAAAATTTGTCATTACTAGTGTGTGGAAATATTATCAAAGTATGTTTATTATAAAGAAAAAATTACTAAAATTGTTCAAAAGTTGTTTTTTAGTAATCTATTAACTTTTTTATATTTTATATAGAGTCCAACGTCACAAAAGTTACTTGAGATATATTCAAAACATGCTATAAATTGGTTATGTTACCACAAAATTAAAGGATTTTATGTTCAAATTGATGGTACTAATTTTGAGGATGGAGCAAAAAGTCTGATGCAAACAGTTGGCTTGGGAAAACTCAAACCCAACATTGTGATGTTAGGGTATAAGAGTAATTGGTTAAAATGTAGCAATCAGGACTTAAATATGTATTTCAACGTTCTCCAGTATGTTTTTAAAACTAAAATTTTCCAATCACTCATGATCAATCTTTTTTCTTTTTTTAGTAAAGCCCTAGATATACATATGGCTGTTTGTATATTGCGTGTAAAATCTGGACTTAATTTTTCCAATTCTATTCTTATTGATGAAATGCAATTAGATATGTTGGTGAATCGTAAAGCCTCATACTTGTCAGAAGAACCGTTTTTGCATAGTCGTTCACAATCTATGTCTACTGTTGGTATGTATCTGAATATTTCTTAAAATAGTTGAAGAATTTTTTTGTTATTATTTCATATATTTTTTAAATTTTTATTTGTTTTATTATATAAATATATGTATAATATAATCAGTGGCGTATACGAGGGATTATTCTAAGAATTTTTATCAACTACGCATTTTGTTTAAATAAGCCTATCAAAATAGAACTATGATCTTAAAATATACTGTCAAATTATAGTTGAAAATGATTAAATGTGTATCTTCTATGTGAAGTAATTTAAAATGTAATGTATTTATAAGATATAAAACAATTTAAATTCGTGTTCAAAGTATTTTTTTTAATATTTTTTAATAAATTTCCTTTTTACTTTGTTTATAAATCATAATGTAATGTATAAAATAACACTAAACAATATTGAATTAAAAAATCAATTACCCACAAGTTTACTATCAAGTGCGCAACTACCTTTTCCAAATACGCAAAATAAGCCCGACTATGTTTTAGAATAAGCCCTGGCTTATACATAACTTTTATATGGGGGATGATTTGTAAACAAATCATTATTTTTTTTATGTTTCTAACACCCTTACACTAAAAACATTTCATATCATTAAAAAAAAAAAAGGTCTGAGGGATCTAACCTCCACATTCCTCCTTGTGTACACCTCTGAACATAATCACTCAAAAATATATTAATCTGAAGTTAAATAACTATTATTATAACATTATATATTTATCATTTATAACGGAAAGAAATATGAGTTAAATAATTTAAAATAAATTATCTGAAATAAAATTTGATTTGAGTTGATAGTTATTAGATGTAATTGTATAGTTTAATTTGATATAATATATTTGTAACAAAATACAGAATATCAAATTGCTTTTTTGATTTTATTTTTAAACACACATTGTATTCTTATACCATTTATCTTTAGATAAATTTAGTATTCTATTTAAGGATAATATCTTAATTTTATTTTGAAACATTTATATGTGCATATATTATTTTTATTTTTCTAGTAAATATTTTAACTGTTAATTATTATATCACATATGAATAATATTGTGTTGTTTAATAGCTGATAAAAATGATAGTGATGAAGAAGATGAATTATTGACAAAAGATGCTCCTACAATATTTAATACATCTGGCATTGATGATAAAGCTGATAAACAAAATATAAGCAAAAATCAAAAAGCTAATATTGTGAAGTAGGTTTTTAAAAATATATTAGTACTTAATAACTATGTATAAGCAATATTAATCGTTGTAATATAGAGGAGCTGATGGTTATGACTTATCCAAAGATATTGTTAATGAAATAACCAGATTCCAACGTAAACAAAAGAAAGGAACAATTGATGTGTGGTGGTTATATGATGATGGAGGTAAATATTAAATATTTAATGACAATAATATTAAATGGCTTATAACTTAATTTGTTTACTATAGGATTAACATTGTTATTGCCTTATATATTAAGTACAAGAGGGAATTGGTCATCTTGTAAATTAAGAGTATTTACAATTGCAAATAAAAAAGATCAATTGGAATTTGAACAAAGAAGGTAAAACAGTTGTTAATTATTTTGATATTATATTGCATTTTTACATTATTTATTTTTTTAATTTTAGTATTGCCAGTTTATTAGCTAAATTCCGTATCGATTATTCAGACTTGGTAGTGATAACAGATCTAATGAGAAAACCACACGAAGAAACATTAGCATTTTATGATTCATTAATAAAAAGTTATAAGCCTAAAGGACCAAACAGTGAAAGTATGTAACAAAAAATGAAGCAAGAGAAAAGCACATTATTTTAAATCTTTTTTGATTGTTATTTGTTTGTAGCTGATGGTATAAAAGAATCTGAGTTGACAGCAATGAAAGAAAAAACAAATCGTCATCTAAGGTTAAGAGAATTACTTTTAGAAAATTCTCAAGAAGCCAATTTAATTGTAATGTAAGTAACATAAAGTATTGCAATTACCTTATTACAAATATCATCTGTATATCTATGTTATGTGAATTAAATTTTTTATAACTAAGAGATTTTACTGGATTCCTTAATATTTAATGATTTTAGGACTTTACCAATGCCCAGGAAGAATGTAGTTCCAGCCTCTTTGTATATGTCTTGGTTAGAGACACTAACACAAGGTATGCCTCCATTCCTTTTGGTCCGAGGAAATCAAAATTCTGTACTTACATTTTATTCCTAAGCATTGGCCGCTCAAAGTATTGTTCCTCAATAAATTACTGGTAAAGTGATGTTATGTAACACTAGTTTTATAAATTTAAAAATAAACAATACCATTTCTTACAAAATTTACTTATAATATTATATTTTAAAAGGTTTTAAAAAATGTTCAAATTTTTGAGTTCTTATATATTTGTCTAAATTTTTTTTATTATTTATTTTAAATTTGTTAAATACAAATTTAGTTTAATCAAAAACATACATTATATTATAACACTCATATTTATTTTTAAAGAATCTCATTTAGAATTTTACTCATACACACATACTTGCACTTACTACATATGACAAATGGTTTTAAGTAGTTGATAACATTGGTGCATAATATATATTTTTATACATTCAAAATTTCAATAAATTTATTAAATAAATATATTTTCTATTTTCTGATATCTGTTGTATATTTTAGTAATTAGATTATTTTATAATTTACCATTTATTATGGAAAATTATACGATTAATAATTAAATATCTAAAATAAATAAAATTAATTTAATGTAATGTAATACATTAAAATACAATAAAATAAAATAAAATATTTGCTCAATATAATCATTTTTTTTTGTTTTAAATTTTTTAAATTTTTATTATTCTGTTATATAAATTGAATATTTAAAAATATTTTTAATATACTTGAATATATCTCATTGAATAATGTTATGAATATTTTTATTTGTATTATTTTTCTCATAAACTATTTAAAAATTTGATATTTATTTTTTATAGGAATATTATTATAAATTGAATGTACAATTTAAATTGTTCATAAAAAAAAAAAATTCCTCTGCAGAACTACTATAAAATAGGATCTGAATTTATAATTCATTGGTGGCTAATCTTAAGAGCATATAGGAAGAGCATTAGCAATTTAGCAATATAGCAATAACATTTATAGCATTGTAAGAATACTATTAATAAAAATAAAAAATAAAAATTAATATATTAGTAGGTACCATTGGCATTGTTATTCATAAATTTGTTCATATTGTGCATGAGTCACAATTTATAAAACATAATATGATTTAATTCATACTTTTTTCTTTAATTTGGTTAAGATGTATCAAATCGGTGAGTATATTTTTTAAAATTCTTTTCCAATTTTGGAGAATATTCAAAAACGTCTGAAAGTATTGGACGTAACACGTTTAAAATCAGTTTTATATAAAATATTCTAAGCTATTGTTGTTAAAATAAAAATGAGTGGGGTGGTACCATAATTTTTAGTGACCTAAAATATTTATAAATATCTATATATCCATTTATATATGCTCAAAACAATTGGGAATAACTAATTAGTTTCTATTTTTTTTCTTTTGAAACTCAGGAAAGTTCCATAACTTCATGTAATTATGATATAAGTTGCATAATTGGCCATCCTTATTTATAATATTTATTAGTAAAAGTCTTATTATTTTTATAAATTTTTTAGTTTATATAATAATTTTATTTATTTTTTATTTAGAATTTTTGTTTTAATCATATTACAATATTAATAATTAATAAATTAAATATTTAGGTTCAGCAATTTATTCAAGGTATTTTAATTGGATAATTATTACATGTAATTCAATAAATTCAACTTGTTTTAAAATATGACAAAGCAACATAGATGAACTGTAATTATAATGCAATAGTAGAACAAAAATTATAATTTATAATTAGAAATAATTATTTATTTTTTTTAAATATTTCCTGACAGTATACAGTTATATGCATGATCATATGAGTTCTTTATAATTTGAAACAAATTATATAACTGTGTTATTATTAAGTATTGATGGATTATTAAAAAATGTTAGACACCATTTGTACTTCTAGTCATACTAAAAAAACAAATTGTTAGTTATTTTGTCAGTTAACTAGAGTTAATATTTTATCAACTTATTTAAAAATGTATAATAAAGTATTGAATACAATACATTTGTAGTAAAACAAAGTATTATTATCAAGGTGTAAGAAATTGAGTTGTCTGTGATCAATCTACCCATGATTTCAGTTTATATAATTTTTCAACTATCCCATTATGGCCTTTACCAATATCATGCTCAATTTGTGCTCAATAAAATTAGATAAATATTCTATTTTTGTTAACATTTTTAATAATCGCGCTAATAAATTTTAAAAAAAAGGACACGTATTTATGTATTTGATATAAGGAGTTAAGCTTTGTATAATTATTCATAAGTTTTGACCTTCAAAAAAAAAAAAAAAGAGACTTATTTTGAAAATAATTTAGTGTTTTCTTTTAATCTTCTTTTTATGTATACAACTAAATATTTTTAGTAATTAATATTTATTTATACCACATTGTGTTCTTTGAGTTGAATGTTATACAATACAATATAAAGAAAATTATGTTATATTTTTTTTATATAGTTATATCTTCCACTTGGAATCAGCAAATTTAATACATTTGAAAATCAATTGAAACTTGATTTAATAATTTGTGTTAAGTATTTTATAAAAATTATACTTTTTTGAATTATATTTTTTAAATTGGTTTTTTTTATTTTTGAAAAACTTTTGGTGAATTTCTATGATTGACCAAAAAATGTTGACAATGATTTGACAAGTTATCGTTTCAAAATCTTGAAAATTTGAATTATATAATTATTGCTTTCAAATTTAAAACAATAATTTAATCGCTGTCATGTGTCGAGATGAGTTGAGCGAGGCGTGTATTGAAATAAGTATGAACAATCGTCGTCCCCTTTTATTTTAAGATCATTTCACTCTCCTAAAAAACCTAACTGTGAAAATAACGCCGTTATAATAGCGTTAGTATTATTCTATAAATTTCTACCGGATTAAGAATTTTCTTAGTGTAGCAATGACAAATATGACAATGGGATATTTAGTCGTTATTATGACTTAAATTTCTAATGCATCGCTTCTCTTGGGATGACATATTTTTTTAGACACATTACTCTCGAACATACTCTCATATTTTATAATCTTCCGGCTACCGGAAAACTGAAACGGTTTCGTTGCAGTAATAATAATCATGGCAAAAAAATAATAATAACACTTTTGCACGTCCTATATATATAATAACATCACGTTACGGTGAATTAGTCTTATATTGTGATACCATACCGCTGGTCTTAACTACGGTTTTATTATTACTAATATTCGATGATTTGCCTCGAGGCAATTTTTTTATTATCACCCGCCGTCCAACAGCTATTGTCATGTTTTTTATTCCTGTATAACACACGCGCACACATACCTAAAATATTTCTATATACTATTCAGCCAGGACGTCATGGGAGCATGGTTTCACTGGAAAACTGTCGAAATCCTCCGGGATTACTATTGTGTTACGTACCTCTTGGCGTATAACGCCGTGTGCGCAACCGTTTAACGCGTGCATGGTACACAATAATAGTATAAGTACATGAGTTGATCGATCTAATGTACGTAGAAGGTAATTTCTCTCGGAACGGCTCTTCTGCTACGCGATGGAGACCCCCTGCAATAGTATACGTGTTACATATACAAGTAATAACATACGGCTCTTTATTGCGTGTTATATACAGTAAATATTTCGTAAAAACGTGATTGGTTCAGTAGGTATAACTGTTCTGTTATGTAGTTGTAAACATGAAATAAGAAATGAAGGAGTCCGTGCGTAATTTGAAGATTTCTTGACATTTTCGATAAGGGTTATCTTTTATTTTTACAAAACCGAGAAGAATGGATCACATTGTTATATAATATATTCCATGCATTTAGAGCTCTATGGTTAAGTACTAGTTTAAAGTGTAATTTAATATAAAATAAAACCACCTGATCCGAGCATAAATCAATAGAGCTTCTTCTATCGAAAGTTCTGTTATTTTTGAAAACTTGTGCATAAGTATATTTTTTTATTGAAAAAACATTCATTGCAATATTTTTTGGTCCTTAACTGGTCGATAAAAACATTTTTTTGAAAATATCTGTGTACAAATAGGGTCATCTGATTTTTGTACACTGACTAAGATTAAGAACAAATTTAATGTTTACTGTTAGGCATAATATTTAGTATATGCTATCACCGCAGAATAATTGCACATAGACAATGTGCGTAATGAAAACCAGTTAAATATTAGTGTGATGTGTCATTAGATAGCGTATAGTGTCGTTGTATAAAAATTCAAGATAAAATATGGATAAGAAATTAATTTATGCACGCGTTGTTCTATCGTCGATTGACTGTCGTATAAAACAGGTCTGATTAAAAGAAATAACCTTATGTAATAAAAAATAACAAATACTTAAATACCTATGTTGTTCGATTGATTATTTATTTATCAATAATCTGTAACTTTTCAAATTAAATACAGAAAAACTTATCTTTCAGTAAAATGTTAAAAATTCAAGTAGCGTAATTGTGTCATTTGAATTTGAATTTAAAAATCTTTAACTCTTCGGTAAAATACAAGGTCGGATTGAGGTTCACCGGTCCACAAGATGTACAAAATAATGCAGCTCTTATTAAAATCACCGGTCTATAATTTCCAAATATTTATAATTACTTCATATTTATTCATTTATCCTTCATCACCATGTAAAAAATAAAAGTTCACATAAAAATATTTTTGCTTTATTTTAAGCAATAACTAATCAAAACAGTCACAAAATTATACTACTCATGATTACACTGAAAAATACACATTTTTCCCAAAAAGAAATGCATACATTTTTATCTATTATAATAGTGGTGATGTTTATTGAATATTTAATTAAACCTATAAATATTTAAAACTATTCTTAATTCTTAAAACAATTTTGTTGTAAATTAATAAATGACAAACTTCTTGATTATATTTCCAAATTTTAGATGAGTATAACACTTATTAGTATAAAAACGTTTATTAATATTTATTCTACTACCAATTTATAATAGATAAAAATTACTCGTTTAGATAAGAGTAAATGATATTTGTACCTATTATTTATTTATATTATTATTTATAAATTAGGTACCTTTGTTTTCATAAAAAATATTAAATTAATTTTATTAATAAGAAATACACTCCTATTGCAATTAAACACTTGTGATTATAAACCAATTACTTTATACAATATTAATACATTTATAATTTCAAGGAATTGG